CCCCCCCCCTCCCTCAGCCAGGTGATAAATAATGACTTTGAAAGCTTGCTAATAAATGCTCTCAAGATCTTTGACCTGAACGCGTTGATTATTTCTCTTCACAGGATTAGATCCAGCTAATCCCTTTTTTAGGAACGCTGGCGTTAACTACCGGCTCGATCCAAGTGACGCTGTGTACGTTGACGTCATACACACTGACATGGATGCCGCCGGGACAGATAAAGTGACAGGTCATACGGACTTTTATCCAAATGGAGGAAAAAATCAGCCTGGTTGTAAGCACCATTGGTTTGGGCTCGGTACGTAAATGAGTCATAAAAAGCAAATCACATGATTATTTTCACTCTTCTCGTTAAGAAATCTAAGTATTTGTTCACACTTCTTGCCACAAGACGAAAAAGTTAAACTAACCAAGTGTGTTTACCCACGCGACTTTGCGCGCTTGTTCACTGGCCTTTTTGATTTGAAAAAGCTGTCCAGGATTAAGCCTAGTGGTCAGGTAGTAGGCGAAACGAAAATTACTAGTTGACACCAACCTCAAATATACGCAGCTCTAGATAACAAAAAACAGGGCTTTTACTCAAGTATAAGATATAAGTTCGAACATGGCAAAAAACGTCTTAAAATTGAACTTTGCACATATTTCTGTGGAGTGTAATCGGCATAGATTACTGATTTCAGTCAGTCTAATAAAGTGGCAGTTTTCTTTTTAATAATCACATCGCAAGTTAACGAAAACTAAAGCAATTTTGGGCTCAATTTTCTCCAGACGTGTTGAAGGCTCTCGCCTGTGACCACATGAGAGCTACAGAGTACTATATTGCATCAGTTGTTTCAGCGTCAGACAAACCTGATTGCTCCTGGAGGGCGTATCCATGTGCAAGTTATTCTGACTTTGAGAAAGGAAGGTGTTTGACATGCAAGGGGGAATGTCCCATTGTGGGATACTTGGCTGACCAAACAGAACGAAGAGGAAAATTTTACCTTAAGACGACCAGCAAATCTCCTTTCTGCGGTATGTAGGCCTCATTTATTCCTCTGGGTCTTCAGAAAATGTTTAGAAGTACATCGTCTAAGATTTATGGTTTAACCATATCACTTTGATTTCGAAATTTAAAATGTATGCGCTAGCTAAGGATACAGACCTTCGCAATTTAAATTTAAAAGTATTTTTAAGTAACTTGTGTCGTAATCTTCTATGCTCCACAGGGTTGAACTAAAGTATCTCCAAAGACAAGAATGCTGTGTAATTCACTGATGAGGAAATTCTGCTGCTTCTATGATGGATAGGGAAATACAATTATGTTGTTGTGGTGGTTTAAACAATTTTTTGAAATAATTTTTTAAACAACTCATTAAAACTAAACTAGTGAGCAGCACTTTGCGAACAGTCGTTGTAAAACTTGTTTATTCTGCAACGCGTATTGTCTAGCTGTCGTAAACTTCTTCAGGAAGTAAACACTAAACGTCTGTGTTTATAGGCCTTAGTAACCAGTTATAGCGTGGGACAATAACCTTAAAGGCTTGACCGGATTTACGAACAGGAAAGGCGAAATTGTGAAACTGTTTTTGAAAACTTTCTTAGGGCAAGGTGAGAAAAATATTTGGGGGCCACGGTTCTAGCTAAGAAACAAAATAAATTGCCACTGCGGTCAAAAAATGCGATAAGGATTTACATCTGTTTTGTTTTTTGTTTTTTTGTTGTTTTTGTCTTTGCTTTTTCTTTTTTCAATGTAAACTTGAGGATTCGAACAGGCGGGTATTCAAATTAGACCATGGCCGAAACTCTGTTTTGATGGAAATATCGGGGGGGCCAAAGGTAAAGGTCACGAAACACTTTGCTGCGATAGACAACTCCTGACCTTTCAAATTTTGCCAGCGCTCTATTGTCTGCTGCAAAGAGCCTATCATTAAAACACTGACGATATAACATAAACTTAAAACAACAAAAGCTACTACTATCTCCAAACCAGAGTTCAGATGACACCCAATTCAATGATAAGTGTCTCGTCTCGATACTGATGAATTCGACAAATCAACCTTTTTTTCTAGTCAAAGAGTGAGGTAAAAAGCAAAGTAAAAAAGAAGCAGACGGATAAAACCTGCTAGAACTGAAAAGCCCCCAACATAAAGAGAAGGATAAGGAAGATAAAATAGTTTCATTATGCGCAAGTGTCAGACAATTTCATTTCTGAGCCAGCCTGAGGATAATGATTACTCAGCTGTTTCGACTTTGAGAGAGTGCGTCGTGCTTTGTTGAGCATCAGTGCTGATATATAGCTTGCTTTACTTTCCATCCGATTAAGACGTCTCGGCTCGGTGTTCACCCGATAGTTATATACAGACATGCCTTGACTCAGTAAATAAAGAAATAATGATATGTCCGCTTCTTGTAAAATAAAATATTTTTATGAAGGTAAGTAAAATCGATACATTACAGGCCTATCGAAAAAAGATTTATGAAATGCGCTCTTGTTATTTCGGAATATTTACGTTTTTAAGCTGATCAAATAGATTACAGGAGGAAGTTTGATTTTGAATTTTATTATTGATTTCCCCGACTGAAAATTAACCTCTCCAAAAATCGACAGTAAACAGAGAAGCGATTTAATAGGCCGAGATGGCGGTTGGATGAAAGTGGAATGAGATCGAAATCAGTTTGCATAAAGCGTCAAATAAGCAACTGAAACATCACAAATACGATTGTATAAAGAAAAATTATGAAAGGATTGTTGGTTCCAGAATTAAGACGAAATGTTAGGGAAAAACTTCCTCTGAACGTTTGGACATATTTCTAATTTCTATATTTCTCTTTTCCTGATTGGAACAAAAAGATTAAGTTTTCAAAACCTCTCACACCTAGTGACGTAACGGAAACGAAAATCAAACAATATCTCCTACTGAGTTAAGAATTAGTTTTTTATTGTTAAAACAATCAATTTTGTTAGTTTGCACAGCTGAGGTCTTTCTTTGATACAGTAGTTCAAAATAAGATTACTTTTGTAGCAGAGTTCATTTGTGAATCACAGTAAGTCAATCAGGAACCACTATTGCATCAAAGCCACTGTGGGACGAAAGTAATGAGCGCTTTTCTATTTATAATCACCTTCATACTAGCAGGGTTGACGGGCGGTGAGTAGTAACTATAAAATTCAGACGTGTGTTTTTTCCCTTTTCTAAGCTATTTTGCACAAAGCGTAATAACGCAGCTGAGGGTAAGTGTATATATACTTTTCCTTAACAATCTAGTTCTTCTATTCTATGAGCACGCTTACATTGTGTTCGGAGAAGACAATTTAGTCCTCGTAAAAAAGTTAGATCTCATCTAAAACATGGCTGCCCAGGTTTATATCGACCAAACTCTCCGTTTATGTACTCAAAGTGAAGTATTGGGTTCATAAGCGTTGCTTTGATGTTTGAAAATTCGCCGATGAGACTTCAGCCCAGTATAAATGCGTTTAATTGGAAGAAAGATGAACAATAAAATATGTACAATAATAATAACGATAAAGAATAACAGTAAAGGATATGTTAAAGCTAAAATAAAAGACAAAGACATGATTGAACACAGTGTTTCATGGCACAAGGGAATGATTGAAAAACAAAATGACCTCGGAAAAGATTCATATATGTTTATTTAATACAATCATAGCTCTTAGCTGTGTATTTCTAAATATCCTTGGCGCTTTAGAAGGATGCTTGCCTTCAGTTTTATTTATTAAGTTTCAAATACGATATTTCAGCACTGCTGATCATAGCAAAAAAATTTGATGCATGGCCTAGGTTTCCCAGCTTTCTTGAGTTCTTTCTAATGAAGGATGATGATCTAATTGCTCCCAGTAGGAGTCAAACCTACGACATTCCGATTATTACTTCGGATGCTGTACCACTGAGCCTGCTATGAGAAACTCATGGCAGGCTAGGCTGTTTAACTATGTCCATAGAGACAAACTTCCTGCTTGCTACCAGAATAGGAAAATCGATATGTGATGCTTCAGCGCAATAATGATGTAAATGAAAATGGTTAATTTAAGCCTGAAGCAAAATCAAAAGTGTGATTTTGGAAAGAAATCATGTTTCCCTGCCTCCACTTTCTTGACATCACGGACAACATCTTTATATCTTTTTTTATTGCACCTGGATTAGCTAAAAGTACAAAGTGCTATGGAAGGTATGGATGCTACAGCAACAAAGCACCTTTCAATAGAATCGTTCTACTTCCTCTACCCCCCTGGGTAGTCAATCCCAAATTTCGCCTTTACACCAGATTACATCCAGACACTCCACAGTTTATCGATGATAACGATGTGACCAAACTTCAGCAGTCGAACTACAATGGAACGAAAAAGACCGTTTTAATAGTCCATGGATATGTTGGTGAGCTTACTATTGTAAAAAGAATGATAGAATGTTTCTATGTGGCCTTAGGAAATTGTATCTTTTGTCAGCTCAATCGGGAATAGAATATTGGATATTTTGTAATAAAGTCGCCGTGACAAGGCTTACGAGACCATTCATTATTTATCACCAGGGGGGGCCAGAGAATTTTAGCCGGAGGGGGGGGGGGGAGGATGACACGGTTTACGGTTTTAAGGGAAAACAGAAGGAAATCAGTCATCACCAAAAGAGTGTAAAGGGGGATTATGGAAAATTGACTGAAAATTAACTAACTATGAAAGTGGATCATAAAAATATGACGGGCCTTAATCAGGGATCATGTAAATTTTGTCGAAATACAACCAAAATCATCCAAATGACCGGTCCCAAGGAGAATACTTTTAGAATACTTTTAGAACGAAACAGAAGGTCATGCCATGGCCCACTGGGGAGATGATGGAGGAGGTGGGTGGAGATATCAGATTAGTAACTTAGAAATATAAATAGTAACTTTTCTTGATTATTGTATATATATATATGTATATATATTTTTTGTTGTTATGATTATAATTCTTGGCCACGCTTTTAGAGATCAGGCCTAAATGGATGGAATACATAAGAGATGGCTTGCTAAGGAACTTTGACTGCAATGTGATATTAGTAGACTGGTACACAGGTAGCCTTCCACCCTATGTGCAGGCAGCAGGGAACACACGCCTGGTAGGCGTCATGATAGCAGAGCTGATCAAGTTCCTAATATCTAAGGCCCAAAGCTCCGTGGAGCTATTTCACGTTGTAGGCTTTAGCCTTGGTTCTCATATCGCTGGGTATTGTGGGACAAGATTGAAACAAGAGGGGCTCATATTGGAAAGGATAACGGGTGAGTTCGGAATAGAGTACGCATGATCTAATCGCTTGTTAAAGGCAAGAACTACATTCCTTTCTTCATTTTTTTGATTATTACTAATTCATTTATTCATTATTAATTTATCGTAAATTAATTATTCATTTACCTATTTCTTTATTATTTATTATACTTTACGTATCTAAAAGCTATTTTTCTTCTTCTTGCAAAATCTGCGAAGGCCTGGACCCTGCTGGGCCACTGTTTTCAACAACACACCCTCTGGTGAGACTGGACCCCAGTGATGCTCGTTTTGTCGACGCCATCCACACAGACGGTGACCGCTTTGGTTTGTATCAAACTTCCGGTCATTTGGACTTTTATCCTAACGGAGGATTGGACCAAACAGGCTGCGCAAGCATCAGTAATGGTAATAAATTTATTATGCATGATAGATTCATTGATTATTTTATGGAAAATCGGCCTGCAACAACGTAGTTGTCATTGTTAACGTTGTTTGTCACCGATATCGGTCCCTTCCCCAGGATTATACTACTACGCTATCGGCTTTTTGTCATGGGTTGAATTCCTGTCTTTATTACATCCATTTTGAAATCACTGGTGGTCCCTGTAATCTGATTGGCTCTAAGTGATGCGATTTATTCATGAATCGCACCATTTTTTGCTTTAAATCGCATCTTTTTCAGAATTCAAGGCTTGTTTAAAGTAATCAATCAAATTGCAGAAGTGTGAAAGACAGAGAGTACCACATGGTAGATTTTGCAACTTTTGTTTCCAAAACTCTTACTTTTACCCCCAAAAAATGGATGAATTTAATTTCAAACCGGCTCAGTACTGCATCAATAAAATATTTGAACTGACCAAGTCCTGTATTTGGGCTATTTCAGAGTGGATGTAATAAAATGATAATTGAACCTCATGTCGTGCAATTTTAGTCTGAAATTATACTTGTGATTTCAAATCGAACTTACGCTGCGCGCTCGTTCGATTTTAAAATCACGCGTATGATTTCAGCTCAAATTGTACTTCACTTAGTTCAATTACCATTATTAATACTTTATAATTAATTATTTATATTTCTTTTCAGGTATCCTGAGTCCTCTTTTGTGCGATCATTTTCGAGCCACAGATTACTTCATTTACTCGCTGTCCCAGCAATGCATGCATTCCATGAAAGGATTTCCTTGCAGTGATTCCAACGGATTTGATCGTGCCCGCTGTCTCCAATGCAAAAATGGAGACTGTCCTGATATGGGATATAACGCTGAGAAGTACAATGACGGCAGTGGTAAAATACTAGGAAGACATTTCTTATATACCACCAAAAGTGTACCATTTTGCGGTAAATATCTTGTTAATCGTCTTTTGTTCGCGTCGGATAATCTAGACGCTATTATACCAAAGAATGACCCTCGTAGACCCGAGGAAGGGAAGCTATGAAAATTGCTAGGCCAAGAAGGAGAATGTTCTGAAATAAATTTCACATCCTTCGAAAATCATCGCCGTTTCTTATCGGTCATGTTTTACTAATTTTGTAGCTTTCTTCTTTGATAAAAAAGATATACTAAGTAATTTTTACGGAAAAACCCTACTGAATCTGTCCCAGATCATCTCTTCAGATTCAAATTACATTCCCTTGCTTAAAATTGGTGTATAAACGAAATTTTACAAGGCTACCAACTAAACGACTCCTATACAACTGTTCGTCGTAATTTCCAACCGCTATTCAATTTCGCTGACCAAATTTTTTCAGAGAAAATTTACACTCCTTTCTACCTCAATTTTCTTATTGCAGTTCCCTATTACACCGTGATCACATTTAAGACGTCTTGGTCGTGGCTAGTGGGGTTATTTCGGGCTCGCATTGTCGTCAAATTAGTTGGATCAAACGGAGAATCTGATTACATGCAGCTTCAAAGGTATTGAAACCTAGTTTAAGAAGTATGACCTAGCGCAAAATAACAATGACAACTTTCTTAATATTCTCTAAGACGGAAATACATTTGTTTTATAAAGATTAGTCTGTTTTTTCAATTGTCAGTCGTAGTCTGAAGCGCGGTAGTGATGAAACCTTCGTAATGCCTGGATTAAAAAAACTGGGAGCTTTGCAGAAAATTCAAATACAGCAGAAGTATTTATCCTGGCTGTTAAAATGGAAACTCATCAAAGTTACTGTGATGAAGCCTGGATGGACCGGAACGCAATTAGACAGGAGCAACACACGATCGTGAGTTCATTTTGGATTGAATTTAATTTACAAAGTGAAGGGGTTATATCACCGATTAGTTACACTGATCCTCTTTCAATAAGCCAACTCTTGTTCCATACATCCATTCATTCTTTCGTGCATTATTCATTTTTTCATTTAATTGTCATTTTTTCTTTCTTTTCCTAAATCCATATCTTTTAGTATTCGTTTATTCATCACACATTATTCCTCTTTCCGTCGACGCATTTGCCTTCTCTTTAAATATTCGTTTTTCGTTACTTGTTGTCCAGTCAAGTTTTTAATTCAATCTGTGGTTACTTCTCTCAAATGTTCCATCGTGAGTTCGTCCGTTCATCCGTCATTAATCAATCACTGTTTATCTATAACTTTCCTAATAGATATTCAGCTTGCTTCAACGCCTTTGTGGGAAGCAGAGGAGTCTTGCGGAATCTACAGCAAGGAGATGTATCTTGTTGAAAGTTGCAATTGTATCTGTTCCATTAAGTCTTCTGAAAAGCCATTGTTGATTCGTGATTTTTCATGATCTGTTTTCGGTAATAAACGGGCCAAAAGAGGGGAAAATGAAAAGCAATAGATATGAACAAAGAGAAATAAAAGTAGACACATATGAGTGTTGCAAATTATACATCTGAGTTCCAAAACAACACTTATTTGAAGTAAACTTTATTAAGTCATTCCAACAAGTTAATTGTTTTATGTGTATTTAATGTTGTAGGTCGTTGTTTTCGTTTCTTTTGATCACGTGAGATTAGCGACTGTAATAGATTAATCATTTTCATTCTACAAACTCCGTACTTTAATTACTAGTAACAAACCATCAACCGTTAAGTTGTCATTCGTTTCTTAAGAGCACGTGAGACTAGCGTCTGTAACAGATTAATCATTCTCACTCTGCAAACCCTGTACTTTAATCATAAATAACGAACGTGGGAAGGAGAGAAATTTTTCTGACAGTGCATCAATTTGTTAGGAAGAGCTACGTCACGTACTGTGCGTCTTGAAAAAAATGGCTTCTATCAATATCTCAAGTTGGTAGTTTGAAATCCGTAAAAATCCTTGTTTATTCAGTTTCCGTTTAATCATCCTGTTTTGATTTTCTTTTTTGCCAAAATGAATATTTTTTTGTGAACGTTTCCTGAACGCCATAGGCAAAGTAATTAAAAATGCTTTGACGTAACCTCTTTACCACTACATAGATGATGACACACAATTGTGTTCACCGAACCGGTACATCTGCAGCCGTAGAGAGCCAGGGAACCTTTGGCAACGCGCTGTTTATTTGTAATCCTACTATTGACCCATGTTATAGTTACACTTTCTTACAAGAATGGAATTGGAGCCAAAACCTCGCTTTCTAAGCTTTCAAGACCCTATCCAATCATCTTCGGAGGATGATAACGCCTCGCGTACCTCAGCGAGACGCATGTCAGCGATGTCAGAGGCGAGCACAACATCGTCCTCCCGACGCATTTCGGTTATCCAACCTGGACGAAAAACTTCCAAGGCGACCTCGTATGTTTCACCTTACCGGTCATGGCGCGGACTGTCTGATTCCCTCCGCGATCAGGCGGGGAACGACTTTCAAGGAGACGTGAAGAAGCAAGAGGTTGAGAATACGTACCGCATGGAGCCGAAGAGGAAATTTCCTCAGCGAGAAGTAAGGGAGATCATTAAAAACAGTTTGGAGGCGTTGTTAGGCGCGTTGACTTATTCAGGCTCCGAGTTTGGATTCCTCACAAAGCTGCTGAGTTCAAGGATTATGGAACAAGTAAAGAGTCTTAATATTGAACGATATAAGCTTGTCTGTGTTGTCAACGTTGGGTCGAAACATAATCAAGGTCTAAGGGTCGCAAGTCGATGTTTGTGGAACCCGGATTCAGACACGCATGTCACAGCAAGTATCGAAAATGGCACGTTATTCGCTGTGGCTACTGTATACGGCGTTTACTTCGAGTAACTGAACAAAAATCAGTCAGGAGTAAGGGATCACTCGCACGATACCATTTAAGACTTCAAATTGAAAGGAACATCACGCTAAGTCCAATATATCACGACATCAGTCAGTATATTACCCTGATTCTTGTCAACATATATTATCCTCCGAACGATTTAAATGGAGTGTAATTCATTGATCGACGCTCTTAGCGCGGTCAGTGGCGTTCATAAACACCGCCATAAAAAAGCTGTTTTATCAGAAGTATTATAAACGACGTACATTCTGAGCATAATGACCAGGTTGGAAACCAACATAACATTGTTTCAAATACAGTGTTTATTTTTGTTACTATGCACGCTTGATATTATAATCTCAGCAATATGAAGAATCAATCTTGTTCTACTCACGAAAAAGAAGAAAAAACAAATAAACAACACCAGAAGAAACTCTAAAGGCAGAAAATTATATACGAAATATCAAGTTTCTCTTTGCCATACGAAGATGACTGTGAGGTAAATAGGAAAAGCCGTTATGTAAATTTTTTTGCCACAGTTCGCTTCACTGACCCGTTTAAATTAGACTTGAAAACCTCAAATTAAAATAATGATATCAGAGAGATTTTGCGTTAATAAACTTACAACTTACTTCTTCCCGTGAAGCATTTGGTAGGAAAATCATTACAGAGAAAAGAGAAAACTAAATATTCATGTTTATACCTGGTACCAAAGCCCTTTTTTCTTTCATGTTGAAAATTGAAGCTCATAATTCACGAATTCAAGAAACCATGTTAATTGAAAACAATGTATGCATGTTCATGCCCAGGCCAAATCAAATGAACACTATTTTGGCATGAATATGTTGAAATTATTTATCTGATACAAGCTCGGCTCGGGCGAAAGAAGTGCCAAAACGCGCGAGAAGGACCAAATCGCTGAATTATTTTTATAGATAAAACTAGTCTCGTCGATTTGGGAACTGTGGATAATATATAAACTAATTAGTTTAACTAGGAATTGCAGCGCGTGAGTTTAGGTACCCTGTGTCATGTAATCTTGGTGGTAAATAAACCGAGCACTTCTCTAGACTCGCTTTCGAACGAGTTATTTAAATGAGTTGAACTCTTTTCCGTTTATGTAGATGTCTTCACTGTGGATCGGGGATATATGAGCAAATATTTGATTTTCAGAACAAAGCTGCTTTGAACGTCAAAATCGATCTTGTTAATAATCGCTTCCAAATTGTCTTAGACAAAAAGTGGTGTAATTTTTTTCCATGTAAGTATGTCAGTTGGACTGAATGTGTCATGATCTCTAATAGACACATATAATTTTTACATAGCTCTAAATGTCATAAACTCGATTTTTAATTTTTTTTATTTACCGCACAGTGAAACTTGGAAAAGCATCTTTGGCAAAGAAACTGTCGTTACGAATAGACCCAAACTCCAAAATAAAATGATGATAAATGATAATTAATATTTATGGAGCTTCTTTTCCGGCTTTCATCATTGCAGAACAGAGAAATGCTGGGAAAAAACTGTTAGGAATAATCTTGCATTTGTGTGAAAAAAACCGTAAAGGCTTGGCTTAATACAAAATGATATTTATTGTAAATTATCCAGGTGCTATGGATCACAATGTTCCCACAGTAATAAACTGCGGAATTTTTTTGTTTTTGGTTTAACGCAAATTTAAACAGACATTTAACACTTCCCAAACTGCTTTGATCCCTTTTGGAAGAGGAAATGTTTTTTTTTATTTCCTTTAATCTTCCTTTGTTGGGGTTTTTGCGGATTAAAAATGTAACATGAAAGAAAATTATAGACGAAATTCACTTCCTTTTAGGATTCTGCCAGATGCGATCTGTGCTGTCGGTCAAATTTTAATTCAGTTCTTTTCCTTTTGGCACAAAGTAGCAATACGTTTTCATTTTTTAAAATAGTTTTCAACTGTTGAATCAACCAATTTGAATCAAAAAAAGAACGTAACTCAAAAGCGTCCGACAAGTTCTGAATAAACAGAACTAACTTAGGGAGTGTAGTCCATGCTAATTGTAAAAGTTTTAAAGAGATCGAAAGAGACCTTACAATGTTAAAAGACCATAATTTCCACAACCAACAGATTAGAGAATGAAAGAGACCAAAAAAATTACGGAAAAAGAAACTAAATAAAAAACCAAGTCTTGGTCTAACTAGTATTTTTTTTTTTAAAATGAACGACGAAGTCATACGGGTTAACAAAACGCTCAACGAGGCCAAGGAAACAAATACGCAGAAAAAGAAACACGGTATAACTATTTTAGTTTTGTTGACTTTCGTTATTACAAACTACTGGCATCGGATATCTTGTTTCAAGTTCTTAATTGAATGGAGATATCTCAACAGTTATAGAAAAACTCCATTAACTGAGAGGCCATCAGTAAATTTCCTCATCTAAGTGCGTTCAAAGCTTCTTAATAGACCCCGCACGCAGGAGGATCAAATTTCAAAGAGAGCTTGTTTTCCGAAGGATTTCCTGGGCTTTGTCTTCTTTGCCATCTCTGAGCAGACATAAAAACGGCGTTCACGAAACGTTTTTCAATGATTCGCCGTTTACTCAAATTTGCCGGTTGGCACTCTTAGGGTCTGTTTAAGACCTCGACCACAGAGAAAGAGAAATGAGTCGATTTTTCTCACTTGTTCTGCATCTAACCCTCTTCCTCTACCAGGTGAGTAGGACGTAAATGTAATAATCTCAGGGAACGTATTTACAACAAGGGAAATAAGCTTCATGAAATTAAAGCAGTCTACCTCAAAGGGACCTCACAGAGAGAAAAATTAAAGGAGCATTCAGTCAACCAAGAAAAATCGGTTTTTCGTTTAAGGTTGATTCTCTCATTAAGAGTTTTCCCAAATTTAAGTTTAATTATACTTTACTTTCGAACAATCTCTTAACACCTAACAACCAAACTGCAAATAACGATACTTTCGTTGGAAGGCCGACAGCCAAATTCCTCTTCTAAATTGAAACGATTTTTCTTGTTTCCATACACACTCAACAGCTGTAACTATTTCAGAATATACTTTTCGCTTTGAATTGGTGCTCGGGAATGCATTTGACTCTCCGAAAAATTACTATATAACTGATGATTTGATAGCTATAATTTGTGCTGTTTTACAGAGGAGAGCCGCTGCAAGACAAGACCTCCATACTTTTCTATCAAATGATGAATTAAGAAGATATTTACATACAGATTCCCACGAATCAGGTCAGGTGTCTCACATGATGCTTTCGTGATGATGACATGATGCACACATGATGCATCACATGACGCTTTTCTTTCCCAACCAGCGAATTTTGACGTTAGTAAAGCAATAATTTTAACATTAGTGTCTATCCTTAGTTCCAGAATACGATGTCGTACGAATCTATAAACACAGAGGCAAGCGAAGTCCATTTTCCACAAAGCAGGACTACAGACTGTCAGCATTTGGAAAAGACTTTGCACTGACGTTGCAACAAAATGATGACGTCATTCCCGACACAGGGCTGCCCATAAAGAGGCGAAAAAGAGACGGTATGGTTGTCAAAGAGATCCACCGTCCACATGGAATATTTTATGAGGGTCACGTAACTTCGGATCCAAATTCTCATGTAGCTGTTCGGGAGACTGATGATAAGGGTCAGCTGGTAAGTTATGCTAATCTGAAAATACGTCACCGTCGTAAGATATTTCGGCGTCATTTTTTTTTTTTTTTTTTTTGAGATTTAAAGTACAGAGTTTTTAATTCCAAGCAATAGAGAGTGAAGGAAAGAGACTACAGGCTTAATATAGGTGTTGTTTAAATGGCCGCAGAGCAAGGCTATTTTTATTCTGAAAGTATCCAGTCTCAAAGGAATAATTATAACTAACTCAGAGCGAGAGGTTTAGTGAGTGATTTGCGGAAAAAAGAAGTCCGCCTAGGCAGAATTTGCGTCTTTGGCTTGGCTATTAACAGATATTAGTGGGAATGATGCTGTAAGTCTCTAATGAGCTTGGCTCATCTCTTGAAAGCGGTCCACAAAAAGTTATTAAAAATTGTAAATCTTGTAGAGTGGTGCTTTAGTGAGTGGTGGCCATCTGTACCATTTGGAGCCTCTGTCAAGTCATCTTCATCGGCGAGCGGCATTACAAGGATCCGAGTACCATGTTATCTCCAAACGAAGCATTCGAGATATGCTAAACCAAAACCTTATGTCGACTCATAATAAAGGTATTTCTAATTTATTTTACAAACAAGACCCTGGATATAAACCAACTTATATCATAACATTACTCCACTTGGAAAACCAGCATTTCCATTGTTCACTTTTTCTTTCTTTCCGATTTCTTGTGATCACAAAGGCATTGTGAATTAGCAGGGGGGGGGGGGTCACACCACAGTCCTGTTTTTATTTACTCAAAGCGAGTCAGAACAGTTAATGCCAATCTTTTTAAGTAAATTTTCCTCTCCATACCAGGTGATCGCCTTCCCCCCCCCTCCCCTCACCACCTCTGCCCTTGCGCAGTCGTCAGTTTTTTGCCAACAATTTAGAGATCATTTTAAGATTTCCAACGGTGCTTCATTTTTCCCTAATTACCAGGGAAGACGCAAGAACAAGAGGAGATCCAAGTTGATCAGACCGAGACTCCCAAGAGTAGAACTAAACGTGACAACATTTACAATGGCAATATATATATCGAGGCCATGCTTACCGCTGACAAAACAACCTGCGATTTCTATGGCAACGGCACACTTGACTACCTCCTGAACATTGCTAATCTAGTAATAATAAGATGGACTTTCAGTTCTTAGTGAAACATAGATAAATAAAGAGTTGTTTTTATTTTTGCCAAATTAAATATTTCGTGCAAGGCAATATGGATATTCAATTCAATATTATTTAAAATTTACCCATGTGCTAGTTAGTCAATCTCAGCCTCGAATCTACGATCCTGTTGGCTTCCCAATTGAATTATTCTTTTCCTGATTTCAAATTAAACTGCCTCCGGAAAAAATATAGGTAATGCAATAATCGAAGCCATGTTTATCGACACAAGTCATAGACACCATTGGGACCAGAGCCCTCGATCCGTTCCGCCGCCCAAACGATCAGGTTAACTAGGTAAATGCGAAGCTGTTTGACTTTCCATTTTTAACATTTTTTTTTCAAACTTTTCTTGGTTCAATTTTCATATAGGTCAATCGGCTTTACAAAGATAAGTCCATTGGAATGCCCGTGTCCTGGGTTCTCACGAAGGTCTTCCTCATCGAAGGGTTCGACGTAAGTGGGAGTTATCAAAACCTGCAATTTATACATCAATAAAATTTATAATTTTTTTAATTGGTTTTGTTTGTTTGTTTTTTCCTGTCTTTACGAATAGCCGGACTTGGACTTTGCAGCAAACAACATACGCTCTGCAGGATCGTACCATGGGAAATTCAAAAATTGGGCCTTCGATAGGAACCCTGCAAATGGTAAACAAGAACATTATGATATTGCTGCCATGCTTACAAGGTAAGTATCATCATGAGCATTTTCAAGTGGACATTCATATAAAATCTGTATTGAATCGTTTTTATTTAAATGCGCCATGTGATTGGTCTATAAAGCACGCGACACCCTCTGAACCAATCCAATGCAAAGTTAAAAAAAAAATGGCGACTTAATCAGTTACGTTTTCGAGCGCTTTTTTTCTTTCAGTTCTTTAAAATACTCTATTTTCGGTTTCATTGCACCAAAATGGGGTTGGCACACAAAATAACTAAACATGATAACACATGTAAGTTAGAGTAAACTTTAACCATTCGTTCATTTATGACAAAACATTTTATCTTTTGTTGGAAACAGGAACGTATGCGGTCTGAACAGCTGCTCCATCAATGGTAAGGATGAGCTTAAAACTCAGTTCACGTGCACTTATTGGCAAATTAATTTACTTGTGTATGTTTTTTTTGTTTTTTGTTTTTTGTTTTCAATACAAATATCTGCTTGCTTCTTTTTTAAGTAATAGAGACCTCACAGGCGCATCAAAGAAATTCCTCCCCTCCCCCCTCTCCCACTACTATGGTCTAGGTTCAACTACCAGACCAAATTGAGTATAATTATGGGATTGCATTTGTTTGTGGTCGATGCCATTGCCTCGACTCGTTGAATATTCTTCGGCCTCTGTGGTTTTCTCACCTACTTTCAAATGTACAAAAGCGAAGTACCAGAGCGACTAGGAATCGTTGGACTAAGAAGCACTTCGAGAATGAGACACTGCTGATAGTTGCATTTTAATTTGAAATTTTATTGATATTTAACGTTGCTATCTCCTAACAGGGGTCGCAAATATGGGACTTTGTGGCAAATACCCTGGCGTGAGCATAAACGTGGCTATTGGACTCAGTGCAGCATACACTGTGACGCACGAAGTGGCTCACAAGTAATTCTTATTTGTAATACTGTTTCTGCCTTGTTAATTGGTTCTCTCTCATGAACATGGAACTTAACCCGAAGACATAATTTGAACTAACACTGAATCGTTATTGTAGGTGTATGTCTCAGTGCAAAGGTATCACCAGTTCTCTTGGTCTGTTATTCTTTTTTTTCGTATTCAAATTTTTAGCTAAAACTTATCTCAAATCATCGATAATTACTTTAATTTGTCGCCAAATGGTTCTGAATTAGTATGTGGCACTCATTACAAACATAATCTTACGAATAGCCTTTTCCTGAAATCTCCGGTTTTCCCGAAAATAACCAATTTCTTTTCACGAAATATGCTTCGGTGGAATCTATCTTTCTCCGCCAAAAATGCATGGTATCAACAATTTGTGTGACGAACATTTCACAATATATGCGGGCAACTCAGCGAAAAAAGTTTGAATGAAAATTTAAATGAAACTTGCAAGAAAAGAGCTGTGTCTTTATCAAATATTCAGTAACCAAAATTGATTCTGTTTTTATTTCCTGTAGCATCGGTGTAGGGCATGATAACGGAAGCTGCCACGAGATAGGAACTATCATACATAGGCATCAAGCCTATACGAGAAAAGATCTGTCTTCACGGGATATTCAGTACCTTGGATTGATTCTGTTTTTATCTCCCATAGCATTGGTGTAGGGCATGATAATGGGGACTGCCACAGGATGGGAGCTATCATGCACAGGCAACAGGCTCATGGCCCGAACGCATTCCATTGGTCCCCTTGCAGCATGAAGAAACTGAAAGAGAGGTTTACGTAAGTATTTATTGTTGTTCCTCCTTGTCTCTAGATCTGCTCACGAAGTGCAAAACATCTGAACTTTAATAAACAAGTCAAGGAAGAATATTTCCCACTTCCGACGTGTGCCTTAGTTGCCCAGTTGGTGGTATCTGGGAAGCACAGATTCGAATCCCGTCGAAGCCCCAGTTTTACCTTACTTGAGTTTGTCTTGAAAACAGGAAAGCAAGAGGAAACTACCTCTTAATTTACTTGTTATCCAGAAAGATTAAGATTAGGAATCTTGTGTAGGGTAAGTTTCAATCTCGATACTCAAATTGCATCTTTACTCCCAGGTTACACAAATGCTTACACAACCAACCACCGGCACAGCTTCCTCTCCCCAGTCTTCCTCCTCTCTTTTCAGCTGACGAACAGTGCCAAATGGCCTATGGGAAAGACTATACTGTGTGCGGTCCAACACTTAGAGTAAGTACGCCATAGAAAAAGCTTCTTAAGAGAAGCTAAAGAATTGTATAGTTTAGTTCTACAGTTAAGATTGGTAGCGATTGTAAAGCCGATTCCATGGTCGTTTGTCCTGTGTTAGTTTGCGCTAAGTGTGAGATGAGAAGTAACTTTCTTGCCGAGTTTCTCTCAGTGACGTCATGGACGTCACGTATCACAGAAGGTACCAGCTTTGACCCATTCAAGAACACTGAGGAGTTATCTGTTAGGCTATGAGCTCTTGACTGGCCACTATGGTATATTCAGCATCTCTTCCGTGTACATGCGTTGGATATGAGATGATAGATGTATTCACGAGTAGCGCTAGTAGAGTAATTCTTTCATCAGATAAATTTGATGAAATTTTTTAATTGACTTGAGTATTGCGAAAATGCTTCGTCCATTTTATATGAACTCAGATATCATAGTCTGTAAGATCTTGTCAATTACATGGGCTTTGCTTCAGGGGATGAGTTTGTCCATGAATTAGACTGTGCACTCTCAGACATTAAAGAAAGTTGATAAATGTTTTTCTTAGGAAAGCTGCGGAGCACTTTTCTGTGAAGGAAAAGGAGGAAGCTGCTTCACTAGATCTTCACCAATCGCTGAGGGAACGTTATGTGGCATCAGGAAGGTAAAACTGCTAAATACGATTTTAGAAAACTTTAAGAGTTCTCAAGAAAGAATAGGCGGTTTTCTTAAGTTTTTAATCTTTTTTTTCTTTAGATCTGCCTGGCCGGACATTGCAGACATGAACCAAGAGTACCAGGGCCAATTGACGGTGGGTGGGGCTCTTGGGGATCGTATGAAGCGTGTACACGAACTTGTGGGGGAGGGGTGAGATACCGAAGTCGACAGTGCAACAACCCAGTGTAAGCATCGTACTTATCTTAACACCAATGTTGTCCTAAAATCCAGAATTTTAAACTAAATGAACACGTCTTTCTTCCTTTTTCCTGAAGACCTAAATTCTACGGAAAAGCGTGCGAGGGATCCAGCAAAGGTCACTTTGAAATGTGTAACACTCAGGTTCGTTGTTCAGTTAAGGAAAATTATTTGTGTATTTAATGGAGACGTATTTCATTGCCTTGACCGTTGGTTAAAGCTGATGATAAGGGATATCAACAAAATACGACGTGTGGGGGTCGTCTCACCTCAACCTCGAGTGTTTCATTGAAAGATTTTACAGTTCAGCTAAACTTAAACTGATGTTTTTTGACATGTTTACAAAATGCAAGTTAGCTAAATCATTGGTTGACTTGAAGAGGAAAGCATGAATTTACAACTGCTTGTATGTTTTCCCCCTCAGGAGTGCAGTGTTGATCGTTTTCGTCATCAGCAATGTGAAGCACACAACACGGACAGTACGAAATACCGTCCTCACTTTTTGGGAGGTAATAACATTAAATTTGCTTGGGGAAACTTTAGTTGACATTGCAATATATACTTTGCAATGGAGAATTCTAGAAAACCTGGCACTGAGTTGACGCTGCTGAATCCAGCACGTCCCTTTTTTTTCTTTTAAAACACTTTGTGTTGAATTTCTATAAAAGTACAGCATTGCAAGGAATTGATGAACTCGTCATTTCTCTTATTCCTAATCAGGCAGTAGCAAGTGTACTTTGGCTTGCGTGACCGGGGGTAGAGGATATTATTTTGGCGACGTCACGGATGGGACTCGTTGTGAGGGGAATAAAAATGTGTTTGATGTCTGCATTGAAGGAAAATGTGTGGTGAGTACTTGACTGGCTGACTGACCAACTGACTGACCGATTGACCAACTAACTAGCTAACCGACTAATTGACCGACTAACTGACCGACTGACTGACTGACTGATTGACCGACCGGCCAGCTCACTGAGTGAGGGAGTAACTGGCTGACTGACTGATTAACTTACCCAGTGACCACCTGACTATTTACTTAAATTTCCCTATAAATGAAGAAATAGATGAATGCATGAACGCAAACATTTAAATTTCTTTCGCCAATTATCTTGACAGTCGGATGAAATACTTCCTTGTCTGTTATTTTTCAGCCGGTCGGTTGTGATAAGAAGCTGAGATCTGGCAAAGTATTGGATCGATGTTTGAATTGTGGAGGAGACGGTGGATCATGTGTTTTGGTTGGGGGGATGTACACAAAGGACTATCGAGTATATGGTAATAATTGGAGTCAGATTTTCTGAATAGTTTAGAATAGATTTTCTTAAAACACTGGATGTCAAAACTGGGACTCAGATTTAAACATATTTATACCTCCCTTCTCATCTTCATTCCGTTTCATTGGGAATATTAAATGAAGCATTCGTGATGCTATTTCTTTATCGTATTTTGGAATTTAAAAACTTCTATTGTCAGGGAAGAAACTCAAATCGTGCGCCACACTCTTTGATCGCATCATGTCTTGATATTTTTTCCCAACGGGTGGAGGATCTTTGATAGAACAAGCGGAAGATTGAGGGGTTATGGTGTTGGAAAAAGAAATTAACGGGCTCACACTGAGAGGAATGTATAATGTTAAAATAATGGCTACGACCCTAACACATAATTATACACGTATGTGCGTTTGACAGACAGGCACTGATAAACATTCGTTTGTTTTTACTTCTTCCGTATTTCTATACTTTGCAGGGCGCAACAACGGAGACATCATGTTCACCATTCCAAAAGGAGCGACAAATGTCCAGATTCAGGAGATGAACAAATCTTACAACTTCCTGAGTACGAAGAATAATATCTCCCCCCTCCTCCATCCCGGTAGAAGGGGGATAAGTAATGTTCGGTAAAGTTTTCGACGGAGTTGGGCCTCGGCCTGAGATCTAAACACTGAAACTTTCCGAACCCCATTGAAAACCCCTGTCAATTCATCACTTATCTTTTTTGGCTTTTCTTACAATAAATAACACGTATTTAGAAGATCTCTCTTACTTTACTTTGGTTTAAATTTCACAAAGCTCAGTCTCTAAGTTCCCTTTGGATCACGAACATTCACAATTTTTCCGTACCTTGTATTTCCAGGTATAAAGTCAACGAAAGCAGTCAAAGCAGTCGATTACTACGTCCCAGTCCCAAGCTGGACGAATACTTACGCGGCCGCAGGCACGTTCATTTACCACTACATGAAAAAGTATATTGATGCTGAGCGAATTACTATCAGAGGACCGACAAATGAAGACCTAGATGCGATGGTAATTATTTGATTTTATCATTTTTTTTAAAAACGGTGTTTAAGTATACCTCACGTACTGTATGCAGCGTTGATCTGTGGACTGAGAGATCTGGGTTCGAGAGTTGGTTTGGCTTTTGATTTAACTGAAGTAAGCGGGAAGAAAAATCAAAATATTGCTTACTATGCCATGTCTTGTTTAATGCATTATATCTACGTGTTTTCAGTGTGGTTAAGGTGGCCACCGCTACATATCGACTATGTAATAACTAAGTAAACAAAATTTTAACCTTGACATATAATTTCACATCTAGAAATATATCCGCTTACCAACCTCCAGCCGCGTTTTTTTTGTTTCTCTCTCTCCACTGCATGTACAAACAATTTAACTATGTTTTCTTGATTTTGCCACAGTACGTTCATCCTGGAAGACATGGCAATCCGGGTATATCTTATAGCTATTATATCCCTGGAAATGGAAAAAGCACAACTTTCAAATGGAAACAAATAATCAACGGCGAATGCAGTACCACATGTGCCGGAGGTAGACATTTTAAAAGATATACAAGTAATATAAGGTTGCTAAACACGTCGGGGTCAAGAAGGCAGCGGAAATTACTCATAAAAGAGTGAAACGTGTGTCGGTTTAGAATTTTAAAATTTGGACACTCGGAGTACCATTTTCGGAAAAAAGTGACAGAACTAAGTCTGTCTATTGAAAAGAACCACTTCGTTTATACGGCCTTAAGCAGACAATTCCTGAAATCAGCTGCGTGGAAACACGCCCGTCCTGTCGACGAGTGGAACTAAGTTTTCCTTCCAAACCGACAAAAGCTAGTTCCTCAACTTCAAAGTCGCTGAACTTCGGTGATTAACGCCTGATGTAAAATAGAGGCGTGTGCAAATAAGCATAACGCATGAAGTGTGTAAAACGCCAATTCCATTTGCTATTAGGTGTTCAGCATATTAAAGTCACGTGCCACCGTGAGGATGACGCAAGTGAGGTCTCTTCTGATTATTGTGACAAGAACACTAAACCAGTGGAGTCCAAGTTCTGTAACCTGGCCCCTTGTCCGAAGGAGTAAGTATGACTCTTAAACCTGAAAATACTGTGGTGCGCAAAGCTTGAGCGAGAAGCCATCCTAAATAAGAGAAGACGTATTTCGCCTTCTTGTGTTTTTATGATAACAAAGTGTTGTTCTCTTATGTTCGTAGAACTTTGAAGAGTTTAGCGCCTATCAAACTAATTCTCGGGATTAACTCGCAACAATACAACGAGTGATACTATGATTAAACAGTTAGCGTTAACATGGGTAAACGTCTTTGACACACTTCAAGATAAATGCAAGCTTTTAGTCGCCTCAATCGTTTGATAAAGGCTATTCAAAGTATAACGCAAAATCTCCAAACTTTGGTTTTAGTTTTAAGTTTAGCCTTGTTTTTTTATTATAATTGTTCTCTTACAATTCACGCAGATATAAGTTGGGAGCCTGGAGTCAATGCTCCGAATTGTGTGGAGGTGGTCAGCAGCACAGAAATCTGACATGCGCACAAGTCATGACACAGAAGTACACCAAAATTCTACCAGATTCTAGTTGCACCAATTTGTCAAAACCAGAAAGTTACAAACCCTGCAACAATATAGATTGTATGCCTCAATGGGTTACTGGAGAATGGACACAGGTAAGAAACAACGAATGCGCATACCAGGCTTTAAATAATATCAGTGAATGCTCTTATTGGTGAGATTGTTCATTGTGCCTTCTCGAGAGGAATAGGATTCTGGGGCTCGTAAAGGCAATTATTTTAAATCTATTAAGTTCTTAGGTTCCCGCCGAAATTATCGAATAAGTGCTCAGAAAATATGATTTTTAGAGAAACTATCGTAATATTTAACAATTGTTTAACGAGCTCATAGTACCGAGTTTGCTATGGCCAATCTCGTATTTAACAAGCTTGCGAATGAATTTTTTTTATTTATTATTTTTTTATTGATATCAAATAAATTCTGCACGTTTGGATATTTGGAACCTTTTTCAGCTCTGCAACAGTTGGCTAAATGCATTTCCATAAAAGGTGACTTAGAGTACGAGCTGATAACCGGAGTTGAATGAACCAATCAGAACACTAGAAATGCAAAATCCGGAGTTGACATTAAAGATACTTATTCGTTGGTAGCCGGAGTAGTTTAACCGTGAAACCCAGAAAACCGCGAACATTTTCCTTTTATGCTGAAAGGTCAGTTGTGATCTAAGCTAAGTTGAGGGTAAGATATACAAATTAATTATCACTTTGTGATCCTGGAGTAGCTTTTTTCTTGAAACACAAAACGTTTCTTATTTATCTTTGGTGTTCACGGTTTTCTGAGTTTTACAGATACCCATGATCCATTTCATAGGGGTCCTACTGGCCTCAAAACCATATGTTTCACAACTTTCGATTTCCACGCGATATATTATTGTCGTCACTATGTTTTCAGTGCTCGGTACCTTGTGGTGGTAATGGCACTAAAACACGTCTGGTGGAATGTAAGAGGAAGCTTGCTAATGGCTCCTGGCTTGCCTTGCCAGAAGATCATTGTACTGAGAAGCCATCTTCACAAACTTCATGCAATAATGTGCCCTGTTACAAATGGCAAGTTCAGTATCCTTGTGCCAGCTGTGGAGGTAGGCATCTTCGTTTCGTTTGATGGGAGTAACAAGGGGGAATAGGGGAGGAAGGGAGAGAGAAGGGAGAGGAGGGGATGGAAGAAAAGAGGAAGGAGTAAGAACCGAATGGAGAATGGGAAAAGAAGGAGTAACAGCTTTGAGAGGACGACGAAAGAAGTAAAGGAGAGGGAGCTGGAGAAGAGGAGAAGAATGAGGAGAAAGAAAGAAAGAAAACAGAAGGGAAGAAAGTGGTGGAGGAAGAGGGAGAGGTATATCTAGGAGAAGGAGCGGGAAGGGGGGCATGTAAAGAAGTATATAATAGGAGAAAGGGGAAGGATAAGGAGGAGAAGAAAGAAAAAGGAAGAAAAAGGAAGGAAAAGGAAGAAAAAGGAAGAAAACGGAAGAAAAAGGAAGAAAAAGGAAGGTGGAAAAGCAGAGGTTAAAGATACATGGATAAAGAGGGTTAGTTTCTAAAGAAACTGGTGCTGCATCGGTGGGAGTGTAACAGGGTATTTAGTACTATCAACTGAGTTGAGAACGTAAAACTGGCCGTAAAGATTTTAAAAGCTGACGTTTCTAGCGTTTGCCATTCGTCAGAGCGAATGGAATGGTTGGACATAGAGGAGTAAGGGTGAGACTAATCTAAAAGAGGAGGAGGTAGGGCGTGGAGTTTGAGAAGGTGAGAGAAAGAGGAGGATAAGAGAGAGACTAGGGAAGAAGAGAAGGAGCTTACACAGGTTGCATGGAGAGGAGGAAGGGAGAGACTAAGAAGGTATGGGTGGAGCTAACGAGGGGTGGAAGAAAACCCTAAAAGTCAGACATTTCTCTGATCAGCATTGACACATTTTAAGGCTGACACCAACCCAAACAAAGATTGCTTTACCTATCCCTAGGTTAAAGTTAAATGCTCAAATTCAGTTTCAGATTTAAATGATACTCAACAACAACTTTTATTTGTTTTATTCTCGAACTTTCAGGTTCGGATATGAGTTACTTTCCGATCGGTTGTTTCATGGACAAACACATCGGGGAGCGACCGTTAGAAAAATTGGTTGCAAATTTTCGTAACGGCATTGACTGGTACCACATGAGTAAAACGGTAAAGAAATGTGCTGAGGATGCTTTGAGCAAGCATTACGATGTCTTCGGAGTCCAGTTCTACGGAGAATGCTGGTCGGGCGACGAAGGCTACAAAACCTACGATAAGGATGGTTTTAATCTGCAAGGTTGTTGGGAAGGAGTGGGAAAGTCAAATAATAACTACGTTTACGCCTTCACCAGTAAGTGATTTTGGTATGATCATCATCATTATTATTCTCGTCATCGTCATTATCACCGCCACCAATATTTGTTCACACATTTACTAATATCATCAAGTGTCTTGCTCTCGTTATCTTCTCTTTGTACTCAGCTCATCAGATATCAGACCCCTCTCCGACAATACAAATTAATTTGAAATAAGTGGATTTTAACTGAGGGCATTTAATGGCCATCCTCTTTGTCTGTCTTTGCTTGCATAGTTCTGTATTTATCAACAGAATTGATATTTAAAATTGACCCATGTAAAGAGTTTCAAAAGCTCACGTTTCGAGCGTTCGCCCTTCGTCGTGTTCGCTCTAAAAAAGGGCTGACGCCTGACACGGCGGTCAAGTTACACTATCAACTCAGTTCATAATACCCCCACCGACGCAGCACCACAAATTTTTTAGAAACTTACTCCCCTTCTCGCATAGTTCTACCTCACTCTAGGTATAACTGTCGGTCTTTACATGTGCCACTTTGGGGATTATGCTCATATGAACTGAATATTGAAAAGAATACTTATTTGAAAATATTCTCTCCTAGGCATGGTTTCCCAGCCTCGTGTTGATTGCATCTACGTAGCAAATGGACAGATTGTCCCGGATGAAAAATGCAGCGCCGCAAAGCCCTTGGCTAAAATGAAACGTTGCTCTGATGTGTGCAGGAATTAGGAGAAAAAAAGAAATAACAGTTTACCTAAAGGAATAAGGTATAATTAATCACAATACTATTTGGTAAATTTACTTGAAGCTCAAAGAAAGAAAGAAAAACTTGGAAAAGAATGACCGCAAGAGAATAAGTTCTATTCTAATAATGCGATTAACTTTAAAACTTTTCTTGCAGGTCGTTAACGATGATCGAAGAATCCTAGAGGCAGCAAAGACAAATTTGATCTAGTTTCATTATGATTGTTTCTTTAATCAAATAATATTTTTGTTAATTTTGTAAAATGGGAAATAATGAATAAACTATGAGGCAAGCATATCGTTTACTCGCTCGTTTTTGATAAGGAATTCTAAGATTGCACTGGATTTCCTTCACGTCGCTTTGTGATAGATCTGGAAAAAAAGTAGAGTAACTTAGTTTAGGCACCCCTCCCAGTATCAGATTCAAAACTTAAATTAGTCTCTAGTTTGTCTTCAGCCTTTAAATTTGATCATTTATATCGAATCGTCGAATTGCAAATGCAAGATTTTTTATAAGAGTCTACTACGATGAAATACGCAGGCGACAAATGGGTCCCGATGAGATTCACCGTTAGCCGTAAAACGGCCAAAAATTTTAGTTGTTATGCGTGAAAACTAACAGATTTTAAATGTTTTAGTCGAAAAAAATTAACCGCATTTTTTTATGATCACAATGGAAATATATTAACCGTTAGCCGTAAATTGACCAGAATTTTTACCACTTAACCGCGCAAAACTTCGCGCAGACAATATGACACGTGTTGGAACGTTATTCTGGTCCAGATATGTATTTGCGGTTGAGTAAATACGTCCTTAGGTTTTGATTTTACGAAACTATTTCCTTGCCTTACTCATATATGCTTGTCGTTTGTTGGAATATAGAGAACTAGCGGTTACGCCGAGGTTGTGAAGGTTAAAAGTTGTGAAAAACTAATCATGGATAACTCGCAAACCGTTAGGAAGGCCCTTGCATTTCGACAATTGTCTCAAACAACACTTGTCCCTAGAGCTTCGGCTGCTAGGTGAGGCTCTTTTCCCAGAATAAACTTCATGGCAATAAACTAACATCATTCCATCACCCGCCAACGTATTACCGTCTATTTATAAATCAATTCCCTTCTCATAAAAGAGGCTGATAGAAGGTTTTGACGACTGAAATAACTTATCAATGTGCTTACGGGTAATTTGGCGCCTGAGTAATCAATTACCTGCTGCCCGAGCAGTGCTTGCTAGATTGAGCCAATGAGATGCACAGTTAGAACAAACACGCCATGACTTCACGCCACTTTGTCAAAAACCAATTAATTTGAGCCCCTTTTTACCCCAAAGCCACTGACTCTTCTGAACCAGTGATGACGAAATCTAGAGAATTTTACTACTTCAATTCAAGAGCCTAGTAGCTCTGAAGAAATTGTTCGCAAAACGAAACAATGAATGCTGCAAAAGTTTGTTCACCGACATGCCCGGGACAAAAGACATTGTTGACAGAGTATGTTTTCCAAACGTTCTTCGCAACTGTTCACTGACTTCGTTGAAAAGAATCTTTGACTTTTTCGTTGTCATGGTTTTGGTTATGGTGTCACTAACTTTGATCTACAAACCCGCAAAGATATTTCGCCGTCACAGAAGAACATTGTCTTACGAAGAACCTGTTGCAGATGTCGTACTGTCAAGCGATTTCTCGGACGATGGATTTTTTTTTATTCCATTCCACGAGAAAGAAAAATACCTGTCGTATGAGCCACCAGTTGGCAGTTGGAGTAAACAGCTTCAAGCTTTTGAGAATGCCGTCATAATATCCAAAATGCTAAACAGAACTCTTCTCGCTCAGCCTTTGGCCAGTGAACTAGAAATAAAGCGACTTTCGCGAGTCGTCCAACGAACTTTTCAGCCTGACTCAAAGGTCTTTGACATTTTGGACACAAAATTCACCGTCCCAATTTCCTCCATAATAGACCTGAATCACTTATCCAAGCTGATCAGGGTTCGAAGTGTACCTCATCGACAGTTTATAAACAATTTTGAAAACTTGACACGGTTCGATGTCTGTCATCGCGACTCAGTAGGTTTTTGGGTCGATTTTGTGCCATCTGCAACTAATAAAAACGCTTGGAAAGTGCTCGAAGCGCAAAACTTTTCTCCTTTGTCATTCCCTGTTTCTGCAGTAGGACCTGCTTGTGATTATGGACTTGAGGTGAAAAGTGGTTCTTACCATCCCAAACCTGTTATAAGAGGGATCATCTCCGAGTTAAGCAGTGTTAAGGAGGATGTGTTACATTTTCGTGCAGGATCCATAGCAACCTCTGACATACGATTTCTGTCCAGGAGACGGACAGCACTGGCACAAGAATGGACCGATAACTACATTCGTTTTACACGATATGTTCAGGAAAAGTTTCAAAAAATCATGGCAAAAATAAAACAGCCGTACAATGCAATGCTGATATCAAGAAACGAAGAAAGAAATATAAGCAATATTCTTCATTACAGATTGAAACAAATGGAAAAGAGGAAATTTCGTAGCATAACAAATGTCTTGTATGTAATTACTCATGTAAACAACCTGTCACATTTTGAACCGTTACGAACTCAGGGCTATGAGATATACTTATCTAAGGATCTATATCCTTCAGGGATTAGCTCATTTGTACGGTACGATGTGACAGAACTCCTTGGATTAGTAATTTGTAAATATGCTAGACTATACTCAGGCTCGACGGAGCCGTACCTCATTCGACGAGGTCGCATTCATGAGGCCGAAAAGAAGGATGGTCTCCTTGTTGATCACGTAGCTGTCAGGTGGGCGGGGCACACTGTCAAGAGAAGACATCGCATCTTACCGCCTCGCAACGCGACAAGCTACGGGCAGCTGAATTTGAAAACTCATAAAGCAAATTACATTTCTTGTACAATTTGTAAATTTATGCATAATACGCTCAGACACCAAATTTGCGTTCCACTAATGAGTGAGTGTTCAAAGTTAAGACTTATTTAGAATGAGATTTTCTAATAAAGATTTGTTTGTTTAGGTTGGGAGAACTGCCACGCTTTCATTTAATGGATGATCGATATTCTCTATATTCTGTGAGATCTTATCCCGTTTGTTATTTGAAAAATAGGACTCACTGGAGAAAATTTGCTTAATTAAGCGAGAAAATAATTGTGCAAAATTATTTGTTTATTAATAAGAATCAAGAAAACTCTCGTTACTATGTAATCCTAAAAGGATACAGAACATTTTTAAATTCGACTATGAAAAACTTGCATTCCTCTCATCCGCGTAAGCTTGACGGAGGGAAGGGAAAGCATGTCAACTAATGGTTACTTTAACGTGATCTTCAGGCTCTATTTACATCGAATGTGATCTGATTTTCTTTGCAGTAACAAACGTTTTATGAAACTATTGTTTTCCAGGCTGACAGATTGAATTTTTCACGATTCTCATGCACGATCCATGTTGAGGATGGTCCTTGAAATAACTCCTAGGATCAATCCCGTTTTTCAGTGATCTAAGATATCCAATCAGGTGCGGCGAATTTGGTCATGTGGATGTCCCAAGTGGCATCCCGTCGTTCTACACCAAAACATTTGGGCAACACGCTATGTGCACGTGACATTATTCCAGGGAGACTGGTTAAGTTGAATCTAAAAATCCCTTGAAATCAAGCTTATTCAAAGAATAAAATGTGTGGGTCATAAACGTGTGGTATAGACCATTGGAGCATCACAAAGTGGCTAATAATGAAAATAACAAGTGCTTTGATCAAACTTGGTTCGTTGAACAGATTTTACTTTCCTATCTCCGACAAACAAACTTTTTTCAGACAAAAATATCTAAGAAATGAAAAGCGGGAACAAAACACCCCATCACGGTAAAAATTAAAAAGACTCTTGAAATTATGAAATAAATTAGTTCTGAGGTCGATATCCTAAAACTGTGAGCATTGTTTCTACGGTTTGGTCTCTCTCCTTCAACAAACGCAATCCCTTCGGAAGAACTTTTCATTTCCTGTGGACAGCCTTTATGGACGCCGCAGAATTCTTCGCAAGAGGGACAAATCAGTGAGCCATTAATCTTCCAGTCGTTCAGGGAGCCAAGAATTTCAAGATGTTGTCCCTTGCGATGACAAGTGTAAAACTCCCCTCCAACCTCCACCTGCAATCCTCCGTCGCAATGGAACCTGTAACATCCGCTTCCCCAATCCACCATTGTTCTCGTTAAAAATCCCTTCTTGGCCAACCACGCGCGACCTTGTTCGACGCACTTCGCGCTTGGACCGTAATGTTCCAAAGCGTAGTTATCAAGACGGGCGGGCGCGTTCTCTGGCACTGTGCACGTTGTTTCACGTTTTGCGCCATCCGTTTCGGTTAAAGTGAATTTCTGATAGAACGGGCAGTAGTCTGCTAATGGAACAGCGCCACCGTACCACGCGGTGTCTCGAATAACCACGCCGCGCGCACTGCCGAGCTCTCCTAAGCCTGGGCTTGTTTCGCTGATTGGTAGATGATTAAAATATTGATACTCTTCTGGTATGGCCCGGCCGTACTTACGAAGGTTACACAAAGCTACCGACAGCTTACTGTGGGTACACCGCATGTGCAAAGGAGTTTTCTTGATGGCGTAGCAGAAAGGCACCGCAGGTAGCTTTTCTCGCAGGTGTTTCTCCATCCATGTTTTACAGCTCGCTTTGGTAAAAAGACAACCGAGTCCCTTTCCCCAATCGAGTTCATCCGCTAGGCTGTAGTTTGGTTTATACCAGCCTGTATCTTCCATAAGAGCAAAGGTTATCCTCGAGAAAACAGGATTTTGCGTGTAAGTACCTGTCATGGCTTCATTCTCAAATAAACGCTTTTCCCAGTGAGTGTATTCTGTTCCTATACCGCCCTGGTTTTCGATCTCGGCTCCTTCCAAACTCGGGCAGTTAAAATGCCTTCGTACTTCTCGCTTTACTCGTGGCGTCACAATCATGTGAACCTGATGTGACACGTCTCCGTGCCGCGTCGCCCATTGCTTTCGTTCTATTCTTTGAACTATTTTGGGGCTCCATTGATACAAACCGTATTTCTCGTTGTACGGAGGTAGACCGTGTTTTTCTCTCGGCGTGTATGGCACACCGTGCTCATTTCTGTAAAACGCGAAAAGTCCCGCACTGAATCCCAGAGCGTGGAATATTTCATGCTTTACAGTAGACAGCAAATTCGGGTAGTGTCTGGGATCCGTATCTAAGCGTTTAGGGCAGATATTAGCAAACCCAGCAACAGGTCTGTCGAGTGCATGCTCCTGTTGACAATAGGA